TTGGATAGTTTCACCTGTTTTAACAGATTGAAGATTATTATTCTAATATTTTCAAAATTCCAACCCCCCCCCCCTTTTTTTCTTTTTCATTGAAAGCTCCATTTAAATATGTCTTCGACAATATGCAAAATTAAACCACATATGCCCATTGTAGGTAGCGCTATAAATCTTTCAGTGTAGATGTTTCCATTAAAATTTTGATTGTTTGATCAAGAGAAAGCACTCATTGCAATCTAAGTGTTAAATTTTTAATTTTAATAATCAAGATCAAACCCTAATAATTTCAAATACCAAAAAAAAAAAAATTAATGTAAGTTCTTTCTGGTTTCTATTAACTGGTGTTTTTTCCCTTGAATTGAGGAAAATCATCAACATGAAATTAAGCCAGAGTTACTATAAGAGCGAGCATACCTCTTTTAATCTTAGAAGCTCTAAACTTTGCCAACATCTTAATCTCTTCTTGCCTATGAAGAAGAAGCTGGATATAGAAGATCGAATTCGGGTGAAGGAGAATCAAGTATTGCTAGCTTTGAAGGAGAAATCTATATGTATCAAGAAGTAATTGGAATATCCTAGTCAGGCTCCTCCTTATAGAGAACCTTAAAAGGAAGAAACTTAATAATGGAGGGTTTTGTAAATAATGATGAGCTATTCGACTGCCAAGGCTGTGGTTGGAATTCATATATCTTTGCCTTATATAAAGCCATTTTTAAAAAAGAAATACACCCTTACTAAGAATTGTATCTCACGCCATCTTTCTTATAACTATAATCTTATCAAGAGAAGACAAAGAGATATGGAAACTTATTTCTCCAATAATATTTGCTTATTGCAATTGCAAAGCTTTATGGCTTAAAGTTTGCATCTTTTCCTCTTTTTGGCCTGTGTTTTCTTTGTCTTTATATTGTTGTGTGCTTTTGTAAGTTATTCATGCTTGTGTAGAAGAGTAACATGCATGGAGGCTGAAACTTATCTTTTTGTTCAAGTATTTCATAACAGATCTAACACCCCTGGATCTCGCTTAATTAACCGACATACATATATACCGTTATAACAATATTTTACTACCATATTTCATGCATTAACTAGGGATAATATATATATATATATATATGTCTAGATATTGATTGGGATACCTGATAGGATCTTCTCCTAGTGGATGATATAAGCATGGCAGTTGCTAATCATCATCCAAGGAAAAAAAACCTAACAAATAACAGCTGTCCCTTTATAAATGTCTTAATTATGTCCTTGTTAAATAGCGAACTAGGTATTTCACGTCACAAGGATGTGTTATATTCATATGAGCTTTAAAGAAAGTTAGGTTTCTAATTGTTCTATATGAAATTAATTACGCTTTTAGAATTTGAATTTTGAAAAATATATAAATTGACATCTAAAAAACAATAAAATGTATAATTTATACTCTAAACTTTTAAATAATATATTATTTTAATTTAAATGCTAATATTATTAACTTAACTTATCTATATGATATTTAATCAATATAATTTCAGTATATGTGTATTATTTGTTAAATAAAAATATTAAATATTTTATAAAAACTTCATGTGGATGTCACATGAAATATAATAATTGACCGATTTTAGAAATTTTTACGGTAAAATTTTTTTTTTTATTTATATTAAAAAAGATAATGATAATATGTGCGGTAAACAAATAATTTAATAATATTTATCAAACACCATATATATATATATGTTGATTGATTAACGGAATTAAAATAAGGGTTAACATGATAATTCTCTAATTAATTCAAAATTCAAATATTAGAAAATATTCTCATCTTTTAATATTTTTTACCCAATGTCTTTTTTTTTTTTGGTTGCTAATGTCTTGTTATTCATTGTGCTTTGCAAATACTTCTTTAATCCTTCTTCCACTTACACCTGTCTGCGTTTAAGTTCATAAATTAGTCATATGATTTACATGTGAGGGAGAATGTTAAAATTAAATATATAATAATTGTCTCTTTCTAACAATTAAAAATTTTAAAATAATTGATCATCTAACTTAGCGAATAATGTATGTTTAAAAGACATTTGTCAATGTGCTATTGCTTTAAATATTTTCATATGAAATACAATACTTTGATTGTAAAAATATGGTTGTATTTACTTAAATAAACTAAAAGAGCTAGTGAAAAACATTATACGATAAACTGATTTCTAATGTTTTCTTTAAGTAGAAGTATTAATCAACCTTAAGTACTTATACCAGTTTTGGTAATGTCCCATGATTATGGTCTCAAATCCAAGTAACGAACACCTCACTAACCTAATGCCAAAATTTTATTGTCGTTAGCTCAAGCAAATTTCTTCATCTAAAGCATAATTAAAGTTAGAAGTTGTGTATATATCAGTTTTTTTTTTTTTTTAATGAAGATTGTAGCTTAAGGATAAGGAAAGAGATTTATAGGTGTTAGGATTATTTGAATTCAAAACCGATTAAATGTTACTTTCTAAAAAATGATTACATAAATCAAACTTAATTGAATTCAAAATTTGATATAGCAGCAGTTTTTAGTAGTCTCTTAGGTAACGTCGAAGCTTCATGGAGGCAAGAGGTAGAGGTTGGGGAGTGGGCAACCTGCAGTAAAGGCAATGGGACCTTTGTAAGACTCTAACAACCTCATGCTTTTCTGCTGTCAACTAAAGGATTTTTCGATTAAAGAAGTGCTTTTGATCTTTCTCTCGGTTTGATCTAAAAATCGTGGGTCATTATTGTAGGGTATATATACGTGGACAGTTCATCCAAGCACGATAAAGAGGGAAAAAAACAAAACCGATTGAAAGAATGTTTCGGGAATATCATAAGAGAGAAGCAAGCTGGCGGCAAAGCCCATGTAAGAAAACCTGCTTGAATTCCCATGCAAGATACTGTGCCGTTAAGAGATAAGCGATTCAGCGATTATGATTATTCCATTCCCATCAATATTATGCCATGCATCTTTTTCACGTATGCTTAATCAATCACTCCACAGCTTTAGAATCTTCCCCTAATTAACTGGCTTTTCTTTCTTGATTAATAAGTCTTGTTGGTGGCATGTTTTGGTGCTATTCAATGAGAGAAGCAATTGAAATATCTTCCCCCTAAATTGAGGCTTGAGATTAAAGCAACCTATTGATTTTTAGATTTTTCTTAACCAAAAATAAAAAATGAAGCATTTATAATTTGTTTTAAATCATGCGTTACTTTATTTCAGATTGAATGCTTTACTTTCTTTTTAAAAGTCATTTTTAATGGAAAAGAAAATTTTGACTAAATTGTTTCACAATCAAAACTTTTTTCTGGTACTAAATATATGTTTTGAGATATGTTTTAATATATGAGTAAATTATACCATACATTTATGAGTTTTGTGCAATTTAAAATTTATATCATTCATATTTAAAAATTTAATTTTTTATTCAAATCTTTTAAAAATACATTTCAAATTTATCCATTTCATCAATTGTTGTTAAAACTTAATAAAATTTGTCACTTTAGTGCCATGTGAACGTCCATATGATGTCACGTGATAGAAAAAGCTAAGCTCATTTTATTTTTAGGTTGAAATTTACATATGCTACGTGGGCTTTTTATGGTATTGATGTGACATAATTTTATTGAATTTTACCAATCCAATGACAGATTTGATTCATTTAGAACACTCTTAAAAGGTCCAAAAAATAAATTTTAAATTAGATCGTAAATAAAGATAAAATATTATATAAAAATCATGAATGATGGGTTAATTTTAATCTCTAACATATTTAATTTGGATTACAAAATTTACATTCTAATTAAACGATAATTCCCCTAAAAGCCAATTAGATAATTTATAAAAGAAAAGGGTGTATTAAAGTGGTATGAAATTTGTTTTGTTAATAACAACTACCATACTTTTTAGTATTTGATAGAATTTTTCTCTTTAGAAAATTATTTAATACAAGTAACTCCATCAGTGATATTAGAAGAGTATATTTAAAAAAATAAAATTAATGAATATAATAAAAAAAACACATAATATTTTAAGTTAAATTTAAAAAACTCACTTTAAAATAACAAAAAAAATCCCCATTGTCCAGGTCTCAATGTTGCCAGAAAGGCCCAAAATTTATTGGACCACGGTCCAATGTGCTGTAGCCCAAGCAAGCCTGGTTCAGCCACGAATCCAATTGAAACACACACTTCTCGGGAAACAAGATAAAAAATAGGACGGTTAAATCAGGTTGATCACGTGGCACGTGGAATCCCATTACCACCACGTTTCCCATCCCCCAAAAAGATCACATCGTCGAATCAATTCCACGTTGTCCCCAAACTCAAGCTCCGTCACCCTAACATCTCTCCTCTCCCCCAAAAAAACCGAGTCAAACATTCCCAATCAGAACTCTTTCTGGCCACTCGATAATAATATTCCACGCGCCCTCACGCGCGCTTGTCAGTCTCCCTGATCCCAACAGAATCACAAACCCCAAACCCCAAAAACAACAACAAAATAAAAATCCCCAAGTATCCCAAAGCCTAGGCAAAACAAAATCCAGGGCGACTGAAATTTTCTACTAGAGAATCTGTGGGTAAAGAGAGAAACTGTCGCCGAATATGGCGTCGTCGAAAGTAATGCGGACTTCAAATTCCCGAAATTCGGATCTCTCCCGACGCTCTGCTTCTTCTTCTTCTTCTTCCTCTTCAAAACCCCAATCTTTCTCCGATCAAAACAACAGCAGATTAAGCTCAACAATGACGGCCGACGGCATTCTCCGAAACGTTTACTCAGCTGCTCCCAGTACGGAGACGACTCTGGTCGATGCTTCCATTACTGTAATTGACACTCCGATTCCCACCGCCGTCGCCGATCATTCCGAAGTTTCTCACGATCAAACCGTGGCGGATTGTAATAACAATGTGGCGAAAAGTGTAGACGAGGTTTGGAGAGAAATAGTGTCCGGCGAGAGGAAAGAGATCACGATGAAAGAGGAAGCGCCCGACGAGATGATGACTTTGGAAGATTTCTTGGCGAAGGCTAGTGCAGTGGAAGAAGCGGTGGCGGCTGCAACAACGGAGGTGAAGGTGCATCCGGATAGATTGAGTGGAGGGGTCTACGCGTTTGATCCTGTAGGAGAGAGTGCGTTTCAAATTCTGGATAAGATGGAGGGGTCAATTGTTGGGTTGGGGAACGGGATGGAAGTCATTGGAAGTGGAGGAGGGGGAGGAAGAGGGAAGAGAGCAAGAGGGATTTTGATGAAGCCCTTGGATAAGGCGGCGCAGCAGCGGCAGAGGAGGATGATTAAAAACAGGGAATCCGCGGCCAGATCTAGGGAAAGGAAGCAGGTATAAGATTGGTTGGATTATTTTGATTGAATTGTGGCAATGTTAATGGATTTTTTTTTCTCTTAATTGTAGGCATACCAAGTTGAAGTCATTAGCAGTGAAGCTTGAAGAGGAGAACGAGTGGCTGTTGAAAGAAAAGGTATTGAATTTTGCTTTCGATTCTGATTATTTTTTATTTTATGATTTTAGAATTATAGTCAGGAACGGGTAATTTTTTCTATAAATTACTTGCTGGTGGGAAATATCTCTTATCTCAAAATAGTTTTCTTTTTGTCTTGTTCTCAGTGTAGTTGCCATTGACTTCATCTAATAGAGGAGACATTTGCATTACCTGCCAATGAAAGGATTTGTATTAAAACTAGGAGCTCCTATTTTGATCAACTTTTATTTCCAAACTTACAAAAGTTGATAATGATTATACTTCTTGAAATATAACTGGTTTGGAGAACATGGGATTTCCCCCAAATCAAGCACATATTTACAAATTTTGAATTTCACTTGATATATGGTTATTTCCAAATCATGATTGATCACTTTACTTTTAACTAGAACAATAACATTTAGGAAGGAATGAGTGCCATTAAATATCGTAAGTAAGAAGATGGAGTTTGTGTGTTGGTGTTTGGAAGTGGCCTAATTTATCTGGCAGCAACAGGTTTCACAGTAATCCTTTGGATTCTACTTGAATTTACTTGCCCTCTCTGTCCATAGTCTTTGTTGGATTTGTTTGGTGGTTGATTCACTGTATAAGTTCTCAGGCTAGTTGTAAGTTATAATCTCATTTTGTGGTGTTCCCTCACTTAGCAATCTCTCATCATCTTTCAGCTTCATGTGTTTATAGAAAATGTTCTTTATTTGCTATCAGTTATGAAAATTTCTGCTATATATTGTGTTTATAGTCCAGCCGTCCTTTAGTATATATAGGCATAAAGGTAATCCTACACAGTTTATGCACTCAAATGTACAAACCTGGCATTTTCAAGAACTTAAAATGAGTAAATTCACAATAAAATGCTTGTATCCATGTACAGGCTGTTTCTATGCTTGGTCCTTGCTGGAATTTGAATTCTCTAGATATGCCATTTTTGCATGTACTCAAGTTAGCCAATAATTGGTTGTTGTTTTATTTGTAGGGCTAATTATTGGCTCTCTTTACCCAGGTCAATTGTCCTCATCATGTCTTAAGTGACTTGAGCATAAGCCCAAGTGCAATCATTCAAGCTCATGCATACATGCATGTATACAAACTCACATATACCAAACCAAAAAACCAAAAATCTAGAATACTTCTTGCACTTATGCCCATACACAAATGGGTTAAATACAAAAATGGTTGCTGTACTATACATGTTGTGTCAATTTGGTACCTAAAAAGTAAAAATTCGCATAGATACTTGAACTTATAATCAATCCATCACTTTGGCCCTTGGCACTATTATTGTTAGTTAAGTTGCTGACGTGATATAAATATCCAATAAAATCCTAACACGTATCAAAGAAGTCCAATTATCGCTACATCCATGTCAGCAAAAATAAAAAAATAAAAAAATTTTTAAATTTTTTAAAAGCATAAAAAATTAAAAGAAAAAAAAAGAGAGGGGAAGACTCGGGAGAGAGAAGGCCTTACCTCAAATTCAACTCCCAACTTCCGCATTGCTTTCTTTTTTCTTTGTTTGATTGCTGGAATCAAAGCAAAAGTAAGTTGTCATTTTGGTTTGAATTTTCCTAATTTCTTGCATTTTGTTGAGTTTCATTTCTTAGGTTTATTTTGGAACTAATTATATTAAATGTAATTGCACTAGTAGCTAGCAGTTCATATGCAACAAAGAATAAGTTATTTCTGGTCTTCTGCATGCGTTTCTGTGGGAAAACATTTATTTACAGTTGGTTGTAATCTTGTAATCTGTATATTTATATTTGTATCTCTAGAATTAAGTATTTGTATCCCTAGAATTAAGGAAGATTTAGTTTCCTAGTTTAACCTATAGTTAGTTGTATATAAACCTAAGATTCTTGTATAATTGTAGATAAGTAGTTTTTCAATATACATTTAGTTTCTACATGGTATCAGAGCTTTAGGCTCTTCTTGGGAAGAAAAATTTTCAGCCTTCATTGCTGACTTTTTTAGGCCTTCATTGTCGAATCTTGTTTAGGCTTTCATTGCCGAACCCTTTCAAAGAAAGATATCACTATCACCCAATTTGAGGAAATGTTAACTGGAAAAATCACTGGAGTACTACAGATGTCTCAAAAACAAGGAGAGTTCAACAGGGAAGAGATTGAAAAGCTGAGAAACTTATTGAAAATCCTTGAAAAGCCTACTATGGTATGTTCTTTGGGTAAAGTTTCTAGTTCAGGTAAAGCTTTCGGTTCTCATGGATTAAATGTCTTGGCTAAGCCTATTACGAGTTCTTGGGTCATTGACTCAGGAGCCACAGATCACATGACATATTCCCCACAAAAGTTTAATACATATAACCTGTGTCCTAGTAATAAGAAAATTGTTGTTGCTGATGGTTCACTTACACCACAGTGGCAGGATTAGGAGATGTTCAAGTTAATCTCTCGTTTGTTTTAAAAAATGTTCGTCATATTCCTGGATTGTCTACTAATCTGATATCTATACAAAAACTTACCAGAGATATGAATTGCAAAGTAACTTTTTATCCCTCTTATTGTGAATTTTAGGATCAGAGTTCGGGGAAGATGATTGGACTTGCTAAGAAGAAGGATGGACTATACTATCTTGAGACATCAAATAACACAAGTAGTATAAAAAATAGTTTACCTTTGTCATTTCTTTCTGAAAAATCTTTCAATAAAGACAAAATCTGGTTTTATCATATTCGTCTTGGACATCCCTCTTTTGGAACCTTGAGAAACATGTTTCCTTCTTTGCTCAAAGAATTAAATGTTGAAGATTTTCATTGTGATAGTTGCGAATTTGCAAAACATAGACGTGTGTCTTTTCCAATCAGTAACAAAAGAAGTTCTACTCCCTTTTACTTGATTCATAGTGACATTTGGGGTCTCTCTACAATTTCTAATATTTCTGGTGCGAGATGGTTTGTTTCATTCATAGATGATTGTACTAGGGTCTCTTGGGTTTTTTTTACTTAAATCCAAATCAGATGTGAATAGTGTGTTTTTAAGCTTTCAAAACATGATCCAAAATCAATTTGGAGTAAGAATCAAGAGATTTAGGTCTGATAATGCAAGAGACTACTTTAATCAGAGTCTATCCACCTATTTCCAAAAAGAGGGGATTATCCATGAGTCATCTTGCGTTAATACTCCACAGCAGAATGGAGTGGCAGAGAGAAAAAACAGCTATTTATTAGCCACAACCCGAGCCTTTCTTTTTCAAGCAAATATACCTAAATCTTATTGGGGGAAGCTGTTTTCACTGTCACACACATTATAAATAGGTTACCTTCAAGAGTTTTGGGATTTAAAACTCCTATGGAACTACTCTCACAATTTTATCCCAACCTCAATACCATAAACAATCTCACACCTAGGATATTTGGTTGTACATCATTTGTTCATGTTCATAGTCATAACAGGGGAAAGTTGGTTCCAAGAGCGATTAAGTGTATTTTTGTGGGGTATTCTTCAACTCAAAAAGGATATAAGTGCTATCATCCTCCTACCAAAAAATTTTATGTCTCTGCAGATGTCACTTTTGAAGAAAATAAACCATTTTTTACTCAACCTTATCTTCAAGGGGAGACTTCATTCATGGAAGATAAGGATAAAGACTTCTTTTTGCTTGATTTGCCCCCTTCTTCAACATTTACACCCATTAATTCTTATGAGTCGAAACCTGTTTCTGTTGAGCCAGAGTCAAACATTGAATTTGAGTCTGAACCCATTTCAAATACGGAAGATGTGACAAAGGATAATATTGTTCTTGATTCTATGAAGGAATTACATGTGTACTCAAGAAGACAAGTTTCAGATCCTGAACCAGTGCCAGTCCAAGAACTTGATCCTAACTCTGGAAATGAGGTAACTACAGTTTTTGACTCTGTTTCTCAAAATGAGCATGAATCTCCTAAAACTATAACTAGTGATTATGATTTGCCTATTGCCATTAGGAAAGGAACCAGAGAATGTACCAAGCATCCACTATACCCAATATCTAATTTTGTGTCATTTGAAAAATTCTTACCATCCCACAAAAATTTTCTTGTGAGCCTAAACACTATTTCTGTTCCAACTACATTATCCGAGGCATTGTCCAGTGAGAAATGGAGGCAAGCCATGAAAATAAAAATGGAGGCCTTAGAGAAAAATCAGACATGGGAACTGGTAGAGTTGCCTAAAGGAAAAAATTCAGTGGAGTGTAAATGAGTTTTCATTGTAAAATATAAGGCAGATGGTACTGTTGAAAGGTATAAAGCCAGGTTAGTGGCTAAGGGCTACACTCAGACCTATGGAGTGGATTACCAAGAAACCTTTGCTTCAGTTGTCAAGATGAATACAGTTAGGATTTTGTTATCATTGGCTGCAAATTACAATTGGCAGCTTTAACAATTTGATGTAAAGAATCCCTTTTTACATGGTGATTTGGAAGAAGAAATATATATGAAGGTTCCATCGGGATTTGGAGGTCATCTAAAAGCAAACAAAGTATGCAGGCTAAAAAAGGCTTTATATGGCCTTAAACAGTCTCCTAGAGCTTGGTTCGGGAGATTTGCCAAAGTGATGCTTGCAATGGGATATAAACAAAGTCAAGGAGATCACACATTGTTTATCAAGCACTCTGATTCAGGGATAGTCACAGTTCTATTAGTGTATGTTGATGATATAATTGTAACTGGAGATGATGAAAAAGAGAGAATCTCTAAAACAGTGTTTGGCTAGAGAATTTGAGATAAAAGAGTTTGGGAGATTGAAGTACTTCCTAGGAATTGAAGTAGCTCACTCACGGCATGGTATTTTTATCTCACAACAGAAATATGTGATGGATCTTTTGAAGGAAATTAGGAAGCTTGCATGTAAACCTACAAATACCCCTATAGATCCTAATCATAAAATTGGAGAAGCTAATGAAGATGCTGCTGTAAATAGAGAGATGTACCAAAGATTAGTTGGAAGACTCATTTATCTCTCACATACTAGACCTGATATAGCATATGCTGTGAGTGTGGTAAGTCAATTTATGCATGGTCCTAAAGAAGTGGACCTACAGGCTGTCTACCGTATATTGTACTATTTGAAGGCCAATCCTGGGAGAGGTATCTTATTCAAAAGAGATTCGGGGTTAGTTCTAGAAGCATATACAGATGCTGATTATACAGGTTCAGTAACTGATAGAAGATCTACCTTAGGCTACTGCACTTTCTTAGGTGGTAATCTTGTGACTTAGAGGAGTAAAAAACAGAATGTGGTGGTAAGATCAAGTGCTGAAGTAGAGTTCAGAGCAATGACTCAAGGAATTTGTGAACTACTATGGTTAAAAATTATCCTAGAAGACTTGAAGATCAAGTGAGATGGACCAATGAGACTCTACTGTGATAACAAGTCTGCAATAAGCATTGCACATAATCCTGTGCAACATGACAGAACAAAACACATTGAAGTAGACCGGCATTTTATAAAGGAGAAACTAGACAGTGGGTTGATTTGTACCCCTTATGTATCAACCAAGGGTCAACTTGCAGATGTGTTGACTAAAGGTCTCAGCAGTGCAACATTTCAAGAAATTATTTTCAAGCTGGGAATGGAAAACACCTATTCACCAGCTTGAGGGGGAGTGTGGGAAAACACTTATTTATAGCTGGTTGTAATCTTGTAATCTGTATATTTATATTTGTATCCCTAGAATTAAGTATTTGTATCCCTAGAATTAAAGAAGATTTAGTTTCTTAGTTTAACCCCTAGTTAGTTGTATATAAACCTAAGATTCTTGTATAATTGTAGATAAGCAGTTTTTCAATATACATTCAGTTTCCATAGTTTCAGATGTATCTTTTGTTTTATTTTAATTGTGTTTCTAGTTTGGCTAGAGAGAGGCTCCTGGTTGTTAAAAAGTTTGAATTCATGTATTTTTTAACGTTCATGTATTCAACTGCCAACTCTAGATTTCATCTCATTTCAAGCTTTCAGATTCAATGGCATAATGTTGGAAATTGAGGTCAAAGGAGAGGGTTTTTTTACGTCTTTTGCCATCCCCAATAAGTCTGTTATCATTGCAAATGGATATCTCCTTTCATAATTATGCCTTGTTCAATTCTAAATTCACTACAATATTTTTCTTTTTTTTTTTTAACTTTTTGAAAATTTTAAATTTTTTCAATTTTTAGATTTTTTTTCTTTTTCTTTTTTTAATTTTTCTTTTTTTTTCGGAATTTTGTAGATTTTTTTCTGAATGTTTTTAACTTTTCATATATTTTTTAATTTTTTTGAATTTTTTATTTAAATGTTGATGTTGTTGTGGCCTCACAAATGATGTGACATTTTGTTGCCACATATCATTTTATTCAGTATTCATGCCACATAAGCAACCTGACTAATGGTGTTAGTCTGAAGTGTGGATTTTATATCTTTAGATACCAAATTGACAAAAAGTGTATAGTACAAGGGTCATTTTTGTATTTAGCCCTACACAAATCATATTTTATCCAAAGCAGGACATTTCTCTCCCTTCTTATGCATCTCTTGTATGAGGTGTTAAACCCAAGTGTGTGGAAGGAACTAGCTTAATTTTACCTTTAACCATCTCGTTTCATGTATATTTTTGTTTTCATGTTCTAGATACCAAGTCCTGACCGCTTAAATTTGAGGCTATCTTTCTATCCTTTGTTTCTTAGTTAGGTAATTCTTTCATTAAACTTTTTATTTAGTTAAAAGGAGGCTGCTATGAATAAATTTATTGCAGATGGTAAACATCGAATGATCTTATAATTAATTTGTATTGCTGTTTTATTTGTCGACTGCAGTTGTAAATTTTCTTGTCCGTAAATTGCTATGATTGCAGTATCTGGACAGTCTGCTAACACAAATAATGGTAATGGCGAAATAAAAGTTTTGTAAAAGGGAGAAACCCTTTGGTTTTCTCTGACATTTCTATCTTTTAACAAGAGCACAAATCATTTTTCCATCGTTATGAGAGGAACTAAGCCAGCAGGACACACGGCTTTGTGTATTAAGCTTTGCAACAAGTAATCGTATTTCATGTTTTATAAATAAGTGTGCATGTATAAACTTAAAACATATAATAAGAAGTTGAACAGTCTTTGTTTCCATTGATTGTAATATTTTCTTGCTTATTCCATCTATTGAGTCATATGTATGACCCTCTTTATTGTGTTTGTTTGCTTCCTTGTGACTGCTAATTGTTTGCTTTTCTGTTAAGTGATCACTTTGCATGTTACCATTGTACTTCACTAAATTAGATATTTGATTGCTATTTGGTTACTTTTGTGTTCATTCGATCAAATAAATTAATTTGGGATTCCATCAGTATTTGCACTAGAAAATATGGTTTTGTGAGTACATAACATGCACTTAGAACATTGGCTTGCTTTTAGTCAACATGAAATTCTATTTTGCACAACAAAAGATCTAACTTTTAGGACTTCTATCTTGTAGAGGAAACAAATGCTCACAATTTATTTATTTTATTTTATGCTTTTTTATTTGCCCATACTGTACTTCCATGTTAACCTTGCAAGGTCTTTCATTTCACTAGTTTTTCTTGTGTATGTTTCTGTCTAATTGAAATTGTTTACTTGCAGGCTGAGAGGACTAAGGAAAGGCTTAAGCAGGTAATACATCGCTGCTTTGATCATGTAGATTAATGGTCAATTGATTCAATGGGATTGGTCAAAATAAAGAAAGACCTAGTTTGATCTTATTTGTAGCTGGAACAGACAAAGGAAATTGAAGAGGAAGGGTTTAGAGAATAATCTCTTGCGCTAAATAAATATAGTTGAAGTAAGTAATAAGGGAAATGAAAGGGTGGGGCAGGAGATGGCTGGGGCGGGAAGCAACGACATCTATCATTTAGGTATTGCCATACTGGGGCTTTATTTTGTTATTGGACTTGCTTTTAAATTTTTTTTAAGGAACATTACTGGTATGCTTCTAATTGAGTGGGAGGATTTTCTGCTTGACATAAGTGAGGGAAGAGGCTCTTCCGTAGAATATGGTATGGCCAAAGATTATTAAAACACCTAGGAAGCCTGTTAAGAAATGAATGAATATGAGGAAATAAGGTAATCAGTTTCTAATTTTAAAAAGATTATTGTCTGTTATAATTTCACCAGCAAAACATGAAACCATGTGCATGGCTCCCTAACCCTGAGGTTTCCACATTGTTATAAATTTCATTGCAGCATGCTTGAAATGTTTCTGTTAAAATTAACAGTTTCTAATATTTCAAAGAACTGTGAACAATTCCTTTTTCGTTGTCTAACTAGAAACCTAATTTGATTTAAATTTGTAGATGAGTGTATCTATTTCGGGGTGAGGAATTTTGTGATTCTGTCATTGTTCAAGGATTCAATAATTGGCCCTTGTTTACCCTCTTATACATTAGTTGGTCTTGATATTTGTTTTAGTTCTTAAATAATACTTGAGTGAGAAAATGCAGTTATGGCCGAAAGAGAATCCAGCAATAAATTGGGCCTATTAAATTCCTAAATAGTTGCTTATCATGTTGATTTGTGGTGTAGCTCATGGAAAAAGTGGTTCCAGTTCTGGAGCAGCAAAGACCACCACGTATGCTCCGTAGAGTTTGTTCTTTGCAATGGTAGATATTATTTTCTTGAGATTAGTGGGAGGGAAACAAAACACCTAATCTGACATAAGGAGGGGGTTAAAGGGGAGGGTAACAGAAAGGGAGGACCCCCATTAAATTTATCTTGTTTTACTAGTAATTCCAAGCTGATAGTTTTCTAGAGCAGTTGTGGTTGTTTGCATGTAAACAAAGTGAAAAAGGGGTTGTAACCTGAAGCATGTCCATGATGGACAAATTTCTTGTTACGAAATAGAAGAATTGTGGCAAAGGAATATAGGGCAGGAGGCATGAGTTGGCTTATGTAGGCAGTGGGCTATGATGGTTCCTCATGCAGCTGATGTGCAAGAGGGAACAAAGGATTCTGGACTAGTATGTACTGTATTTATGTAGTGACAACTTTGGCAAAATATAGAAAGGCCAGTAGTGATGTATTTATATTAGTCAGAGCATTACTTGTTGGAAATTATGTGCATGATATGATGCAAGTTTTAGAAAAAGGCTGTTTATTGATGGAAATCGTGGCTAAGCCTCTATTTGGTTTTGGGTTTCTTTTAAAATTGAAACACAATACATCCTTTCACCTCCTACTCGATTGAAATAAATAATGTGACTGACTGATCAGAAATGGTATGAAAGTGCTTCCGTTTTGCTTACTGAATTTCCATTCATCCCGATTGAGTCGTTATACTTTCTATAGCATTAGCATGCCCAATATTGTCTTTTTGTTTTATTGCATATGAAGCAAGGGTAAGTAATCGGTCCGTTACTTATGTTTTAAAAAATAAAAAAATTGATTTGATCAGATTTTCATATTTAAAGTAATATTTTTTATTGTAGATTAATAATAAAAATTAAAGAAATATAAGATCAATCGATTGGGTTAAAAATTAAAAAATTTTCAGTATTCTTTATCATTAATTTTGAGTAATAATTTTATAACAATTTTCATCTAATAAAATAAAATATAATTTATTTAAAATTTTATAAAAAATATTGATTAAATTGATTGATTTAATTATTAATTTTAAAAGTCAAATTAATCGATTAAATGATTTTACTTAATCAATCAATATCAAAATTGAATTAATTAAATCGATTTTAGCAAATTCGATTGATTTTGATCAATCAAATTTATTGAAATCAACTTATTTTCATCACTAATATAAAATTGTTGTGATCGAATATTGATCATCAAAATTAAGATTTCAATATTATATCGATGTAGTTATTTTAATGATTTTGAAACAAATAAATGATAGATGATATCAGAATGCAACTTTATATAGAGAACTTTTTCCTATTCTATTTCTAGTTATTGAGTTGGATAAAAAAAGCTAAAAGAGTTTTTCATTCTTACGGATTTATCAAATACTAGTAATTCTTAAAACTTCTAGATCTTCTTTTAATTTATCTTTTCTCTCTTTTCTTGTACTTAATAAATCTTCTTTTAAGTTAAAATTTTTTTATGAAGTAGATTATATTTCAGAAGTGAAAAAATTATAACAAACAATTCTTCATTTTATAAACCTCTATGTTGCTTTTTCAAATTCTTCCACTTCCTTTACAAAATTTATAAAAACCCTTCTAAAACTAAAATTTTAAGCTCCAAAAAAATACATTCAAGCTATAAAGTTTGATCAATGCATTCTTCTATCAGGATCAGGAACCCAAGATCACTTGGTTACTCTTTAAATTCCAAAAGAAATTCCTCAATAGTGGTTAGAAAAAGGATACCCTTAAATCCATTTTGGTACTATCATAATGGCTTTGACTTTTCATAGCAGAAATGATATTCTTATGTGTACCAAGATGGCCTTGTTGGATACCAGATTCAAATATTACAAACATGTGGTACTTGGTATAGTCGAGATAACACTTAATGTAGGAACTGTCTTCTTCACAGTCTTCTTAAATTACAATATGTCTCTCCATAATCCAACAATATTAGATGCTTTAAAAGTTTAAGAGTAGATTGTAGGTACTGAGATGAAATGATTCCAGGTAACCCTTCACTACCAGATGGCGTACAAAATTTAAGATTATGCCATAAAATTACTTCTTTCTTACTCTGGTGATGCTGTATTTGTAAAGATAAAAGTAGTAGACAAAAATCCTAGACATGTTCGTTTTCCAAAGTAGATCTCCAACGACAAACTTGCCACATTACTCCGTAAGTCGTGGATAACAAGTTACCAAACGATTTGAAAAAAAAAAGATGAACCCATTTTGACAATTAAACTTGATCCTACCTATAAGACAAACCAAGATGGCACTATAACAATTGAGTTTGATCACAGTAAAGGAAAAGATGTTCCTCCCATAACTATCTTTCCAACATAGTTCATAATACAAAGATATCAAGCTAAATCAAATGTTCCAATCACACACTTCCAATCTGATGGAAAACTTATATATGTATACAGATCTCTACAAGGATATTACTATTGGGACATTGATTGTAGACACAAAGAATTTCAGAAAGACACATATAGAAACTTCCTTGATGATGATGATAATCCTCCAAAGAAGCAAAAGTAAAAGTCCTACCAACAACAACTGAAAAAAGATACGAAAAAAAGACCCTGAAGTTGATCTCCTTGGTGAATCCTTAAAAAGTTTGACCATTATGTCATTTTCTTAAGAAGACAAAAACCAGATTCCACTTCTCATACCCTACTAAAATCCAAGCTTCACAAAAGCTAGATTTTAAACCAACCCTTACCTCAGGTGTGCATGATGTAACCAAGTTACCCATGATGGTCTAATAACTCAGATTCTCTGCATTTTCAAGAATTTCACAAAGACCAATACAAACACATTCCAAAAATCCAAACCCTACTGACTATGATAATATGGAACAAAAAAAATGTTTCTTGTGTAGAAGCAGTTTTAAATAGTAACTGAAATTCTTTCAAACATAATGCATACTTGCATAGAATTGAAAACAAGTTAGACCAAGTCATCATCATTTTGACTAAATCTTGTCAATCTTCAAAATATTATTCTTGAAATACAATCAAAGATAATAACTTTAGATCAAGAACTCAGATATATGGTTGAAACAAACACTAGATTCACTTATGCTTTCATTAAAAGAAAAGAAATGAAAAGCCTCAAGATTCAACTTGCAGACTTTCATAATCAGCTTTGTCAGAAACAACAACAACAACAGACAACTTTCAATTATAGTATCTTCACTCTTATCAATACTAAAATGCATGACACCTCTTACCAACCTTACGGCCTTCCTTCTTACCAACCATATAACCCTCATCCAACTTCACCCCCAAAACTTTTTTTCACACATTTTCAATACAAACCACTTCTCACATCAACATCCTCTCAACCAAGACAATATTTCACCCCAATCTTAGACTAACTAGATCAACCTCCCTTTGGTACAACTAAAAAATAAATTCATAAATTTAGAGAAAAACAACCAATTGATCCAAAGCCCAAAAGAATTACAGAACAACCATTTTCTCAACCCTCAAAACCAAAACCAAGTTTAAGCTCTGTTACTACACCTTCAAACCTTACACCCTAACTAGAACAAAACCAACACAACTTATAATTTCTCTCACACAAAACATCATTTCAGAACTGATACAACATAGAGTAAAAGAAAACATCCCTAAATTTTTCATTGAAGACATCTTTCTTTCTACTTTTGAAACATAATCTCATATGAAAACTATTGAGACAAATGACTTAGATGTTACACTTCTTCAGATATTCATGACAGAACCAATAATTGAAGTTCCAAAAGACAATCCAAAAAGCATAACTCTAATGCAATTGACACTAAACAATAACCTTCTCTAACACAAACACATGTTCCTCTTTCCATATCAAAGTTCTTAGTCTTTATAATTAATGATATTCCTCATTCAAAATGGCCTTCAAGATTCCAAGAATTCCTAGCATGAGGACTAGTTAATTAAACTCCAATCCTAATGTTATGATGAATACGATTTTACTCATATTCATCTCAAAATTGGTTGGAACCCTAAAAAATTTTTAGGACAATATTGGTGAATACAAACAACTATAGTTTCTTAATGCCCAAATATTACAAAAGTTGTATCTCAATTTTAGCAATATTTTTCAAGCTAAAATGTTGTTCCTTCCATCCAAAAGATCTTGATAGATACTATTAATAGTTTTTTCAGTATTTTTACATACTTGATAGATTCGATGATGTCAACTTAAAGCAAGCCTTCCTAAACTCTGTTTCAGAAGAACTTGCACAACAAACAAGAACATAGCTTAACTTAAGATCCTTTGATGTCAGAACTATGAATCTAGGTATATCTACAAGATGATGCCAAAAGCTCTTGATAAGATTTGCAAAAGAGCATAAATATATTGCAAACTTGGTGAACAACTCTAGAAAGCTAAAAGGATCATGTTTTTACTCTTCCTCGAGACTCCAAATCAAATGGTCTTTCAAGAACTCCACATGTCTTTGCAATCACAAAAAAATAATAATAAAACATATCAAAAGATTCAAACCTCTCAAAAATTATCACTTCTCTAAACATAAGAAGCTATTCAGATAATCAGACAAGCCTAAAAGATTTAAGAAATTCAAATTTGACAGAAAGAAAAAAAACCCGAAATTGAAAAAAATAAATGTTTTCTTTGTGCAAAATTATAACATTTTGCAAAGAACTACCCAAAGTCAAATAAAAGATTAGTAAACATGATACATGATATTTTTAATATCTCTTGTATTAATCTTTCATATGATGACCTTGAATTAGTCTTCTCCCTTGATGATAAGCACAAAAAAATATCATTATTTATGATCAAATAGTTTGATGATGATAACTTAAACTTAGACTCAAATAATTATTCAGATCAGTACATGTCAGTGCAAGAACTCCTGAAAATTCAAACCCTTTAACCTTTAAAAATGCCTTTAGCTCCAAGATAGATCTTTACCCATAAACATTTTCCTCTCATAATAGTTACAACTTTTTTTGATACTGGTACAGCCTAAACCATAGCAAATCCCATTGTATTACCAA